CCCTCTTTATCTTTCTTTTCCACTGCCTCTTCCTTTCTGGATAGGTACTCCAGCGCAGAAGCGAAGCAGCGACACAATACGATTAGTGTAGAGCGATTGTGAGAAACTGCTCCAATGCAACTATAGTATCATGAGTGTTCAAGGTGTAGATCCATGACCATTTGTGGCCGAAGAATGCCACAAACAATAATGATAATAATAATAATAATAATAATGATGATAATAATTATCATTATTATTATCATTATTATAACAACAACAAAAATAATAATAATAATATGTCTGACTATTTCTCTCTCTCTTTCATATGTCTGTCTTGGCATGTTCACCTATGTAGGAGAGATGCTGGTTTATAGGTTGTGGCACTTGCTATTTGGTGTCAAAATGTTTGTCACAGAGATGAGCCTTTTTCGAATCTTGAAATCCGAATTCGAATGTGACCTTTCCCCCTGGAGAACCCCTTTGTGTCAGTGACAAGAGATCCTCTTTGACTGCCCAGTCCACGTTTCTTCAGCTCCTGGCGACTGCCTTGTATCACGTGCTGTTTAACAATATACCAGGCAGTTGCCACACGATCAGCTGCCATACAATAATTTGGTATAGTATCATCTGCCATGTGATGTCATGCATCCCTGTGGCATGGGTATCGCCATGTACTTTACTATGAGGAACATGACGCATTTAAAGAACCGTGTGACGTGTGAGTGATTCTGTCTTGGCATCAATGTTCCCTGTTTGCAGTGAGATCCTGTCAACTCGAGCCAGTCTGCTTGGTTCCAAAGCCATGTCCGTCAGATGAGTTCTTCGAAACACTCTGAATAACATTATATATATATATGTGTGTGTGTGTGTGTGTGCGTGTGTGTGTGTGAGTGTGTGTGTGTGTATGTATGTATGTATATATATATATATATATTTATATATATGTGTGTGTGTGTGTGTTATATATATATATATATACATACATACATACATATATATATATATATACATACATACATACACACACACACACTCACACACTCACTCACACTCACACACACACACGCACACACACACATACACACACACACACTCACACACTCACTCACACTCACACACACACACACACCGTAATAACTTCGTATAGCATACATTATACGAAGTTATACGATATATATATATATATATCGTATAAATTCGTATAATGTATGCTATACGAAGTTATTACGCGCTCTCACACACACACACACACATATATATATATATATATGTGTGTGTGTGTGTAGAGCCTGTCGATCAGATGACTCAGTATAGCATACAGTTCAGCAGATTCTATCCGGTCTGTCAGGTAAATCAAGAGACGCCCTGAAAAATGCTTTAGGAAATCTAGACGAATCTGTAGTCCAATTTTTGGTATCCAAAGTTCTTTGACTATGTTGAATAAAATCACCTGTAGTATTCGGCCCCTGGCCAGGGCCCCCGCCCCGAAAAAAAAACAAAAAAACAATCAATCCCCATCCAACTGAATCGAAAACAAGGCGGCCGGCCACAGGACTATGTATTAACAACTCTCATACCGTAAAACAATAAACCATAATCAGACACCTACTTAAGTTCACTTTTTCTCAGCAACCAAAAGGAGTTTGGGGGAGTTCTTGGGTGCATTAGAAAGGTCCCGAGGTCCTGCGTGGCTTAGGCTAAGTGACGTTCCAATAAGGGATCCCTATAAGGGGTCAGGACGCAAAAAATCCCTAAAATCATATTGCTTAAATATTGAAGCAACAGTACACGGTTGCAGGTTTATTTAGAGTGCCATGGAAACCTATTACAGAGTAAATTACTAAATTAGACGGTACGGTCTAAAAATTTTCATACCCCTTATAGACCCCTTATAGACCCCCTAAATACACCCCTCCAGGGTGCTATGGAAAGCTATCACAGGGTAAATGAGAATGGATATGGTTTGAGTACTTGCATACCTCTTATAGACCCCTTAAATGCCCCCTAAACAATGGAATGAGTTAGGGAGATGATCGAGGGTGCTATGTAAGGCTATGATAGAGTAGAGGTGATTGGGCACAGTTTGAGATCTCGCATTCCCTTTAAATATAGCGGGCGTAGGTACGTGCGTCACCTTTTCGGGGCGGCGCCTCTGAATTGCATTTTGAGCTTGATAAATTTTAAGGATTCCACAGCAATCTACTGGCTTATGCCAAAGGGGTCTATAAGAAGCATAAATCAAAGCTGTAATGTTGCCTTTCAGCAGAATTAGAATTTATCATTTCAATGTGGATCAATGTGGCAGCTGACTACTCCACAGGGTCTATGCGCCCACTGTGCTGTGCAATCTGACAGACGTCCACATAATCATTTAGGAATATTTCCAATGGTACCCCAATGTCTAGCCTTTATCTAACAGGTGTTCTCTGCATGTCTTGCCCAGTTACAAGAACACTGTAGGTTTCCTCCTGCCACTGACCTGTGAGTTTAAAGTGTTTACTTCGATAGCCAGTTGCTTCGCCCTTGGGTATTATGTAAGTGAAAGGAGCCTCTTTTCCATTTTTCTCTTTCTTCTTCCTCGTTCTTTCTCTCACGCGTGTGTACGAAGAGAATATATAGTAACATAGAACATAGATAATAACCAAATGTACTTGTTCATATTGTGTGATGTATCCAAGGCTTTCCATCCAGTTCACAATGTCCGTAAACGATCAGCCGACAAGGCCCCAAATTGCCTTCCAGTGCAATACGCTGATGATTCACAATTTCTCCAAAGTGACTCAATTAACCATGTTTGTTGATAAGAAAGACAAGGGACACTGGCACAAGCAAAACATGAATAGCCTAAAAAGAAATCGGATTAAACATTCGTAAAAACAATGCCAGAATTTCAGAGAAGACTACCATAGAATTTGAAGGCTGCAATGTAAGATCAAGCACAAGTTGTCATAGATATATATCAACTGGAATCCATGTCGATAACCTTTATAGAAAAGCAATGGCCCCACTCATTTA